GTCAGGTGGGGCCAACTCGCTCAGGGCCACGTGAGGACCTGCGATTCTGGTATGGACGATGAGCTGGTGGAGGTGACAGGGAAGTCACCATCTGATTGCCGATTTAGGGAGCTTACTGGGGCCTCGAAGGATCCACCCACCCACTGGAGTGACAGAGATTGGAGGCTGCTCTTAGCTCAAGCGGGAGCGCTGGGGTGGGAAAGAAAGCAGACAGAATTGAGGCAAAAACACCCCTCGATGAACACCCTAAGCTTCAGTCTAGTGGGCCACCTGTGCCCCATAAAAGCCATTTACATAGCTACTGTACGCTTCAACGCCAAAGGTGGACATATGCAAATCCCATCCACAAATGAGTGGATGAACGTGCAACAGAATATCACTCGGCCATGAACAGGGACGGGGCTCTGACACAGGCCACAGCGTGGAGGGACCTTGAGGACATCGTGCTCAGCGAGAGACGCCAGACACAGAAGGACACACAGCGTGAGACTCCATTTACATGAAATGTCCAGGACAGGCAGGTCCAGAGACGGGACGTGGATTCGTGGCTGCCGGGGGCTGGGGGAGGGGAGGGGGGTGACTGCCGATGGGGACAAAGGATCTTATTGGGGTGGTGGAAAGTTCTAAAAGGGGTTTATGGGGATGGTTGCACAACTCGATGAACTTATTAACAAAAAACACTGAATGGTAGGCTTAAAAGAGTTGAATTTTATGATATGTAAATTTAGCTTCCATTTAAAACAATAAAAAGCAAAAAGACTTTCCTCTCTTGCAAGGTTCTCGGGAAGAACCAGCAACCATTTCTGGAAGAGTCTTGGAGCGGCCCAGGAGCCGACCAGTGGCAAGACCAGGCGGGAGGTGAGGACCCACACAGGGACACGGGGAGAAGGTGGCCCCCCACACCACAGGACAGGCAAGGGGAAGGACGGCTGTGACGTGCGGGGGCCAGTGTGCCATGGAGAACAAGTCACCCCATCTCCTTGGCTCTGGCATGCGGTCCGCAGCGCCGGGCCTGCTGGGTGACAGGGACCATGAACCCTTCTCTCTCACCCTTAGCGGACACAAGCCAGGCCAACGGGGGCAGCAGCAAGAGGCAGTGACAAGTGAGGTCGACCAAGGTCAAAATGAACAGCGCTGCTGGGAGGGAGGCGTCCTGACACGGCCAAGGACGTGGCCGCACTGCACAAGTCTGCCGGGAAAGGACACGAGCGTGTGGCAGAGCCGAGACAGACCTTCCTGGGGACAGAAACCCAGCTCAGGCTGTCACCCCCAGGGCTGCCCGTGTCATTTGAGACACAGCAGCCAGCAGGGGACACAGCGTGGGACACAGTGAAAGGACGAGAAGGCTGTGCCACCCTGATCCGTTGCACAGCTGCCACGGTAACCAGCCTCCTCAGAAAGCACCAGAAAGTTCCAAAGCCAGAGAGGCCAGGCACAAACTTTTTGGAAGAAATCGCCCTGGATCTTTAAAACTACCAATGACTTAGTTCATATGACATTTTTTTTTTTGAGACAGAGTCTCACCCTGTTGCCTGGGCTAGAGTGCCGTGGCGTCAGCCTAGCTCACAGCAGCCTCCAATCTTGGGCTCAAGCGATCCTCCTGCCTCGGCCTTCCGAGTAGCTGGGACCACAGGCACGCGCCACCATGCCCATCTAATATTTTGTATATATATATTTTTAGTTGGCCAATGAATTTCTTTCTATTTTTAGTAGAGACAGGGTCTCGCTCTTGCTCAGGCTGGTCTTGAACTCCTAACCTTGAGCGATCCTCCCACCTCGGCCTCCCAGAGTGCTGGGATTACAGGCGTGAGCCACCGTGCCAGGCCAGTTCATATGGTTTTAAAGGCCATCCCTGTCTGCAGATGCAAATGAGAAAAATCTGCAGTAACACCTTGAATGGGGAAAAAAAGGAGTTTTTCACACTGCGACGTGGCGTACGAGAAAAACGCCTCCATTCGGTAAACACGCCCCGCGCTATCCACATGTTAGGACAGTTTGTGTTTACTTGTCTGTCCCCACACGGCAGGGCCCCAGGGTTTATTACGTATGAAACAAGAACAGAAAATAATGGCATCGGTCAAAGCATGTGTTCTCAATAAAGCTCCTCTGTGGACCAGGACTCACTTGAGAAATTCATTCAAGCCACTTTTGGGACCTCACGCTCAACGTTAGAACCGAAGAAGCGACTCACCAACTGGCCACCTTCCCGTGCCTGCGACTGGCACATTCAAAATCCATTTGAAGTGTTCAAAAGCCACACAAAAGCCCCACCCAGAAATAAGCTGGCATTTCCCAAATTCTCTAAAAGCAGTGATTTTTGTTTTCTCCCCTACTCTCAAAACAAGAGCACTAAATGATTTAAAGGACAATCCCGGTTCGGAATGGCCACGGTCCCTAAGGCTCCTAGGTGTGTGTGTTGGGGGGGGGTCTTTAAATGAGAAAATAAATCAGTTTTGTCTGTAACAATGGCTTTCAACTGGAGTGATTCTGCCCCTACAGGACACTGGGTGATGGCTGGGGACATTTGCGGCTGTCACCACTGACGGGTACTGGTGGCGTGGGCTGGGTGGGGGCCGGGGACGCTGCTCAGCACCCTGCAGTGCCCTGGACGCCCTCACCCCAGAAAACGACTCCACCCCAGTGTCCACAGTGCCCGGGGTCAGAGACCCGAATGCGTCACATAAAGTCAAGTTGTAAAGCTGATAAATTTAAAGAGCATAAAGTCAGGGCTCGCTGGTTCCTTACGGGGCACACATGGGACCTCCAGCAACCTTCTCAAGCACATGCACCTGTCCTTCGCTTGACAAGCCTTCAGAAGCTCCTGGTGCCAGGTCCAGATAGATTCTACTTCCTTTTGAGTTTTTTTTCTCATTTTTACTAACACACAGACTTTTTTTTTCTTTTTTTTTTTTGTAGATTGTCTTTTAAAGCCCCCAGGGTGACCCTTATGTGTACCCCAATGAGTAGAGTTAAATGCCAACTGCTTTCTTTCCTTGCCTCTATGCCATCCCAGTCATTCTACTCCCCCACCGCCACCCCAGCACCCCAAGAAAAGACTCCATTTAGAACATTGTCCTCAATGCTTCGGAAACCTTCAGGGTGTGCCAGGGAGTTGTGTTTGGGGCAGGGATTCCCCCATCGGATGTTGCAAGGACCCTACGAGGCACATGCTACTGTATTTATGATTCCCGCTTTTCCGGGGGGCAAATGACATCGCTGAGAGGTGACACTGCTGAGTCAGTAGCTCGAGGCAAGATCTCAACGCCGGGCCCATCTCCCTGAGCCCCTTGACGCCCCATCTCGGCGAGACCAGACCGCAGCCCCGCGCCCCGCACGAGTGTGTGAACTTGGCACTTGCCTCGCCAATACCTAGCAACAGTTTCAAGACTCCTCCCTGGGGGCCTGCTGCTTTTCTGCTGTCAAGCCTGTCTTCCACCGCCCACCTCCCAGCCCCTAGCAACCCCCGCTACCCAGGAAAAATAAAGTGCCGCCCACGCCCCTCAATATCATCGTCCCAAAAACTCCCACTTCAGTTCCTGAAAAATTCAGTCACCAACATGAGCCTTTCTGCTTCCTAAGACATCTCCTTTGCACCCTATATCCTAGAAATAGACCTCGGAAAGTATTTTGAACTCCCATCTCCTGCCGCTGCCTGCTCCCCTGGGACTTCTGCCCGGTGCCCTTTTCTGTGACAGATGATTAGTCCCCCAAAAAAGTATAGGGGGTGATTCCAAATTCCTTATAACGAAATCCTACCGAGACCACTCCCCATTACCTCCTGAATGGTCATCCTCTAGCAAAACACCCTAACCCTAACCCTAACCCCACACCTAACCCCACACCTTTCTCACCTTTCTCTGCCCTAACCCCACACCTTTCTCACCACCCGCCCTGATGTCCTCCCCCACCCCGTGCACTTCAAGCTCTCCATTTCTCCTCTTTGCCTGGACCCCTTCTGGGATAAACCTGACCTCGGCCTCCATCCCCCTGCTCCTCCCTGGCCAGCCCCTGACTTTGTCCCTGTGGCCCTTCCCCAGATAACCCTAACCACAGGGTCCCTCGATCCCCCTTCTCAACAAACTACACCCCTCAGCCCCCTCCCCAGCTAAGCCCAGCCCTAACTCTGTCTGCAGCCCCCTCCCCTGAGGACCACACTTACAACTCCATCCCCAACCCCCTCTCTGGCTACCCATGGCCCTCAACTCCACTAACAAAGTCCCTCCTCGGATAACCTCCAACCTCCACTCAGCCCTAGCCCCCTCCCCAGCTAACTCAGACCTCCAACTCCACCCTCAGCCCCCTCCCCAGCTAACCTCGACCTACAACTGCAGCCCCCTCCCCAACTAACCTCGACCTACAACTCCAGCCCCCTCCCCAGCTAACCTCGACCTACAACTCAGCCCCCTCCCCAGCTAACCTCGACCTACAACTCAGCCCCCTCCCCAGCTAACCTCGACCTACAACTCAGCCCCCTCCCCAGCTAAACTCGACCTACAACTCCAGCCCCTTCCCCAGCTAAACTCGACCTACAACTCCAGCCCCTTCCCCAGCTAAACTCGACCTACAACTCCAGCCTCCTCCCCAGTCAACCTTAACCTACAACTGCAGCCCCTTCCCCAGCTAACCTGGACCCCAAGTTCAGCCGCCCCCTCCCCAGCTAACCTGGACCCCAAGTTCAGCCCCCTCCCCAGCTAACCTGGACCCCAGCTAACCTGGACCGCAACTCCAGCCTCCTCCCCAGCCAACCTCGACCTACCACTGCAGCCCCCTCCCCAGCTAACCTCGGTCCCCAACTCCAGCCTCCTCCCCAGCTAACCTGACCCCCAACTCCAGCCCCAGCCTGCAACTGCAGCCGGGTCCCAAGCCCCAGCCCCCTCTCAGCTGACCCCCGACCCCCAACTCGTCCGCATAGTCGGAGCTGTCCCAGCCCCCTTCCCGGGTCGCCGGCGCCGCCCTCAGCCCCCGGCCGGGCTCCCGGGCCCGGATTGCGGCGCCCTTACCTGCAATCGGGCCCCGCGGCCGCCTCAGCCCCGCCGCGCAGCCGAACCCGCCGCCCCGGCCCGCGAGCTCTCGCTCCCCTCCGGGGGGCGGGGCCAGCGCGCGGGGGGCGGGCCCTGGCGTCCCGGCGCGACCAATCGCGAGCCCGGGCAGCTGGAGGCTGGCGCCGGAGGCGGGGCGCGGGGCAGGCAGCGGGGTAGGCTGCACCCAAAAGAGCGGGGCGGGACTCCGCGCGCGGGCGGGGCCGGGGGCGGAGCTCTGAGTGGCACCGCCGCGGGCCACTCGCGAGCCGGAGAGTGCACAGTGGGGCGGGGCAATGCTAATATGCAAATCGGCACGCTGTGGGGGACTCGAGGGCGGGGCAAGGAGCGGCTTTCTTGGGGCGACTTCATGACGTCAAGGAGGCGCGAGGTGCTGCGCGTGTTCGAATCCCGGGAGTGGGGGCAGCGGGTTCGAATCCCAAATCCTAACTCCGGGGTCACATTTTCGGGGGAAAATGTCAGTAATAATAACAGCGGTGCCTCTTTCCTGAAACATTTCATGGGCTCCCTCTCGTGGAACCCTCTGCATAAAGCAAGGAGGTGAGATAATGATGAGCCCCATTTTACAGAGGTGGAAACTGAGTCTCAGGGAGGTGAAACACAAGGTCACTCGCCTAAGCCCATCTCCCAATTGCCAGGGTTTCACAATTTCCTAACTCATGGATCTTAAAGTGCAGATTCCTGGGCCCCCACCCAGATGGAATGAACCAGAATCTTGCCAGGGAACTGGACGCCGGAATCTGCATTTTTGGCAAGCTTCCCTGGTGACACTGGGAAACATTTGGTATGTCTCCAAAAGCAGCAAGGGGTCCCGACAGGGAGCCATTCCTATGTGGGAGGATGCAGCCACCATATTCTGTGAACTCAGGGACTTTAGCCAACGCTGACACTCGCGTCCCCTGCCACCGCCACCGCCTGGGCCCTGTGATCTGGCTGCTGGCCTCCCAGCTCTGCTCCCCCAGGGCTCCTGTCATCCCTGCAGGAAACTCCCTGCTCATCTCAGGCTCCAGCGGCTTCCCCTGCAGCACACAGAGAAACCAGGCCCGGGGGCGGCAGCTCCCTCTCCCGGTCTGCCCACCCCTGGCTCGCCCCAGCTCACGTCCCCCAAGAGGAACGACTGTCTAAATAGGGGTTGCAAACTGGTGGCTCCTCCATGCTAGATGTGTCCAAAAAAAAATCCTTTAAAAATTTTAAATCTGTTGCCAATGTTTTTAAATCAGGATGGTTTGCAAAAAAAAAAAAAATCCAGATTTCCAGGCGCTCTTGGGAAATCAGAAAGTCAAAAGATTTCCTGCAGCAACTGCGTGAAAATCAGCTGAGCGCGATTCACTCAGACACGTCACTACTTGGCCCCAAAGGAAAATCAGGGCTGGGATGAGGGTGAGACCAGTGACGCATGTGTCTCAGATCTAAAATGTATTTTTTGAATTTTAATTTTCTAACTGACAAATAAAAACTGTTTATGGTGTGCAACGTGATGTTTTGGAATATGTATACATTGGGGAATGGCAAAATCCACAATTCAAATCCAATATTCAAATCCAAATTTTAAATAGAGGCAAAGGAAAAAACAAAAAGAAACCCAAGTCCCCATCAAGATAAATACTATGTTCAGACAATATTTTAAAAATTCAGAATAAATGCACAAATAATCCATGATGAACAAAACACCAGCATTTTTTTTCAGCATTGTTTACATGCAGAAACCAGCATTTTTTAAAAGACGAGATCTGATTGATGCTACACTTGTACGACTCACCTCGCTAACTCCCCACAGCCTACTCAGATCCTGTCTTTATTTAAAATATTGATATTTGGTTCATCATGGCTTCCTTCGCATTGAACAACGCATTAAAATAGCATGTAGCTTGATGACTGGGGTTTTGGGAACCTGCATCCCTAGTGGCTGCCACAGTAGTTAGTACACAGTAGGAGCTTAATTAGTTCCTGGCAACTGGAAGGATGAAGGAAGGAACCTGGTGGGGTGGGTTTAAGACTGGAAAACAGGGGAAACCACGGGGGTGAAACTGTCACCGAGTGACGTTGATAAAAACGATCTGAGGACGACGTGGACACGTTCTGCCTTGCTCAGCACCCGACCCCCCTCGGGCCACCCTCTGGGAGTGGCCTGGCACGTCGCGGGAGGTCTGCATAGCAGAGCCTCTAAAATCACAGTATCTGCTTCACGCGGGGTAGCAGGTGATCTGAGATCAGCGCCGTGTGACAAAAGCAAAGATATGGAACCAACAGGGCTTCCGCTATCTTCCCAACTGCCACGAAGGACAGGCCCTAACCACTGCCCTACCCTGCCTCCCAGGATCCTGGCAAGCCAGATTCCAACCATGCATTTCCATTGTACAGATGGGGAAACCGAGGCCCCGTGGACTCCTCCCTGTGTAAGATGGGAGTGCCTCCCCAGTCCCCTCAACTGGCTGCAGCAGGTGCGTGCAGTGTGCATGCGACAGGGCCCTCTGGGTCTCTTGTGGGGACCACAAGGGGAAATGCTGGCATGTTCCCATAATGCACCCCACCGTCCTTGTCATTGAAGTCCAAACTCTTCCCACAGCCCACCGGGTGCTGTCTGACACTGGCCGACTGCTCTGACTTCACTGGCCACCACCCCTTCCTCCCTCCATGCCTGCCCCAGTGCCTTTGCACATGCTGCTGCCCCCCCTACCCCCGGCCATGCTCATCTCAGATCCTCTCAGGGCTGGCCTCTTCCCTGCCTTCCCAGGTCAGCTCGAATGTCACCTCCTGAGCCAGAGTGGCTTCCCTGGACACCAGGACCGCACCCTTGCATCTCTTTTGTGGTGCAGGCTCATCTTCTTCCCACGCAGCAGTGCGCATCTGAAGTGGTCTGATCCAGTTCTTCTCAGGCAGCGTCTCCCCCAGGAGGCAGAGATTCTGGGGCTTGTGTTGGTCACCACCATGTCCCCCGCATCCAGGACAGGGCCAGGCACACAGTGGTGCCTACTATGTACTGGATGAACGAATGAAGGTACAATGAGCCCATGAATAAATGAATGAATGGTGACTCAGTTCCTCCCACTCTGCCCCTAAAAGAGGCCTTACCTCCTCCGCTGAGACCCCTGGCCCAGCCTGGCCTGGGTGGGGAGGATGGCGTCTGGGTGGTGGATGGGACGTGGGCAGAGCGAATGGGGAAACTGAGGTCCGAGGGATCCTGTAGTGGAGCTGGAAGCCCTGCAGCCCAGACTGCCCCTGCCTCGACCTCCCCTGCTCCATGTCCTCACCTGGCCCCTCCCACCCCTCCAGACCCCCATCCTTTGCAGGCGGCGAGCAGAACCCCCCCACCCCAAAGAAGGGGCGCGGTGCGGGCGGGGACTGCAGGATCCACTTTATTGCGGGAAGACTACATCTACAGCGAATGCTACACAGACCCCACGCTGGGGGGTGGGGCGCCCACATGCGGAGGGGGGAGGGGCGGGGTGACAGCAAGCGTGGCCGGCCAGCGTCCAGAGAGAACCCTTCTCTCTCCCCGGGGTCGGGGCAGGGCCCAGGGAGGGAGAGGCCTGAGGCCGGCGGGGCCCCAGGGGGATTGTGCTATCAGGGTGTGTCCCTGAGAAAGGGCCCTGTCCAGCCTCACCCTCTCGGCACCTTCCAAGTCCAGAAGCCACTCCCAGGGCAGGGGAGGGGGCCCGGGCCAGCCAGAGGTTCAGGGGGCTCAGCTGTGCTCAGACTCCACGTGCGGCCCTCCTGGGGCCCCGTCCGCGTGCTGGGCGGCGACTCACACGCACTCTCCCCAGAGTGTGCCCAGCAAACGTGTGTTGAATGAACAGTCACGTGAACACAGAGCAAAATAAACATGCCGACAGCAGGTCAGACACGAGTAACCCTTCCTACCTACAGCGTCCCACCTGGCCACGTGACCCCAGAGCCGCACCGTGCGACCTCTCTGGCGGGACGCTGGGATGTTCTCTCTTCCTGGGTGGCCTAACCGCCCCATCCCAAGCCACGCCATGGAGGTGCCACGTGGCAGCTTCCAGCTGACAGCCAGCGAGGAACAGGGGCAGACAGTCCTGCACCGTGAGGACCTGAATGCTGGGACAACCTCGTGAGTGCCAGAAGCATATCCTGCCCCCATCCAGCCTTCCGATGAGACCCTGTCGCAGCCAACGCTCTGATCGCAGCCTCCGGAGACCCCGGGAGGACCCAGCTAACCTGCCCACAGAAACTGCAAGGTAGTGAGTGCGCCTTGCGTGACGTTGCCGCGTTGTGGTAACTGGTTACGCAGCAACCGCTGGCTGAGACAGACTTAGGGCCCAGAGTCCCCTTGCTGAGAGCCCCTCGGTCAGAACCAGCAGGGTCACAGATACATGCTCTCGGATAAAACACATCACCCACTCCTGAAAATACAGTCACGCTCACACGGGTACAAAGATCCACACGGACATGTCACAGAGACCCAGTCCTGATGACAACCACACGCATGAAGCTGCAGCTACCCACCTCTAAGGACATACTGTCCCGATCACTACCTGCACAGACTTGCGACAGGTGCACCAGCCCCGTGGCAGACACACGCACGCACAGACACACCTTTAGATACAAGCCACCCGTCCACACACCCTGAGCCACACGGGCACGTGGTTCCACAGTCATCTCTGTGTCTGCTGACAAAGCCCCTGGGGTCACGTGAGTGTGGAGTGACCCAGAACCTCATGGCCGCAGAGACACCCCCACTCCGGGACGCCGCCCTCCCGGCAGGCTGGTGGGAGGAAGTGGCTGGACAGGATTCTGCCTGGACCCCCGCTACTGCTGGTGCTGGTCCTGCCCCTGGAGGGGGTGGTGTGTGTCTCTCATCACAGGTCCAAGCACCCCCTCCCCAGCACCCAAGAACCCCAACCAGGGCACTGCCAACGTCTCTGTCTCCATGGAAGGGGCGGACCCCCAGGCGGGGGGCGTCCAGGAGGCCCGTCCATGCTCACAGCGCCAGGCCCGCCTGCACCTGTCCAGCCCGGCCGTCCTCGCCGGACAGTCCCAGAGTTGTGCTGTGGCTGTCGGCTGGTCCTGGGCCTCCCTTGGTCTCTGCCCCGTCCCAGGGGTGAGATTTGGGGCTGGCTGGCGAGGAGGCTGCTGCAGGGCCTGTGGTTATTGCCTGGTGGCCTGAGGCCTATCCCGTAGGCCCCACCCCCACCCCAGTGTAGGGACAAGGGCGAGAGAGGCTGTTTGGGGACCCGGGGAAGGGGTACAGGTCAGAGGTCACGATGGATGGCGTGGGGTGTATGTTAAACACCAAATGGGAGGAAAGAAAAAAAAAATCTGAGGTCGAAGTGCATCTCCACTGCCCCCTCCCCTGGAAGGTCACAGTGATCAAATGTGGTGGGCGGGGACACAGGTCTGGCGGGGGACACAGAGGAAAGGGGACAGAGAAGGGGGTCCTCAGGCAGAGATGGAGGAAATGCGCCCCCTCTGCACCCGGCGGGGACAAGCACCCCCTCCTGCCGGCTCCCCGGTTTTCTCTCGCGCAGGATGGGGGGCTGCCTCCGGCTCTTGGTTTTGGGGGTACAGGTGGAATGGGAGGGCGGGGGTGGGGGGAAGAGCCCAGCTCTGCCTCAGGCTGGCCAGGAGGGAGCCTCGGTTTCCCCGGCTGGAGGAGGGGGAAGGAGGAGGGGGAGGCGGAGGAGGGCGAGGGTGTCGGGAGGCGCGGGCCGGGGCGCCCGGGCTCACATGAGGGTGCATTTGCCCTTGATGCGGTCTGTCCTCTTCTGCTTGTTGGAGCGCTTGCCGTCGATGCTCAGGCTCATGTTGCGGCGCGTCTCCAGCGTGAGCAGCTCCTGGAAGAGCTCCTTGACGTTGTAGTTCATCTTGGCCGAGGTCTCCATGAAGGCGCACTTCCACTGCTGGGCCACCGCCTGGGCCTCGCGGGTGTCCACCTCCCGCTGCGTCTCGTCGCACTTGTTGCCCACCAGCATGACGGGGATGTCCTCCACGCTGCCCTTGATCTGCACGATGAGCTGGTAGATGGGCCCCAGTTCCTCGAGCGACTGCTTGCTGGTGATGGAGTACACCAGGATGAAGGCGTGGCCCTTGGAGATGGACAGCCGCTGCATGGCCGGGAACTGGTGGCTGCCCGTCGTGTCCGTGATCTGCAGCGTGCACACGCTCTTGTCGCAGCTGATCACCTGCCGGTAGGTGTCCTCGATGGTGGGGATGTAGGTGTCGCGGAACGTGCCCTTCACGAAGCGCAGCACCAGCGAGCTCTTGCCCACGCCGCCCGCCCCGAACACCACCACGCGGTAGTCGTTGCTTTGCTCGGGCATCTTCCCCGCGGCGGGTGGGGGACGGGGCCGGGAGGGCTGGTGCCGGCTGCTAGAACCCCAGACTGACCCTGTGCGGAGAACAGCGTCAGATGCAAAAGGCCACCTGGCCCTGGGAGGGGACAGCTGGGGGCCCTGCTGGGATGGGGTGGGAGGGGCAGCTTCTCAGGGGAGGTGGCATTCCTTCCTTCTGCGTCCTGGGGCTGACTTTGCAGTTCTGCCCTGCCTTCGGGCTCGCCGCCAGCCCCTGCTGCTTCCCCTAACAAAATCTGGGGCCCGACTAGCCCAGGGGACTCTGCCTTGGAAGAGGCGTGGGAGACACTGGCGTGCGTGCCCAACTTCCACCCCGGTGCGCGAGCCCCTTCCAGGCTGCCCCGGCCTCCTCCCCGCCCCAGCCCCACAGCTGCCCGGCTCCGAGACCCCTGCCAGCCACCTTGCCACCCTGGGCCTCAGTTTAGGGGGTGAAATGGTGCCAATCCCCAACCACCACGGGGTCCCTGCCCTTGCCCCAGCCCAGAGCTACCTAAACCTCGTGGGCCACTTAAAATGCGGATGTCAGGGCTTTGGCCCCAGATGTGATGGATCAGTTGCAGGTGTGGGGGGGGGGAGGAACAGCCCTGGTAATGTGTATTTTACAGCTGCTCCCCCCACCCCTGCCCTGCTAAATGTCACCCTGATGCTGGGGCCAGAGAACCACAATTTGCAAAACATGATGTTCATTCCCCAAAGCAGCCCAGGCTAGAGATGAGAAAACAAAAACGGGAACCGAATGGAAAAGTCCCTGCTCCCTAAACTCTGCACCCAAACTGCGAGGCCCCGCACGGCCTGGGGCTCACGTGCAGGTCTGACGTATCCTTAGGAATAGAATCATCTCTCTCCTCTCCTGTGCTCAGAGAGGTCCAGCGGCCGGGGTAGGTCACACAGCACAGCGATTCCTGACATGATGGAGGTGGGTGGGGAAAGACCCTCGGGCAGGGGGACAGGAGTCCTATCTCCAGAATCAATGTCCTGGTTTATGTAAAGCTGGGGAGACCCTCCCCTTCCTTCTTCCCAGCCGTGTCCGAGGGTCCTGCAGCCAGGGGTCTACAGTGGGAGAGAGGGGACACCAGTGTCTGCCTGCCTGGGCGTCACCTCCCCGCACACTGTGGGCAAGGCCCCTCCCCGGGTGTCTGTGTGTCTGTGGAGGGCGCAGGGGTGCCCTGGAGTCAGCCAGGAAGGAGCCAGTGGTGCGAACCAGAGCAAATCTGTGTCCCCAAGCCTCGGTTTCCTCATCTGTGAAATGTGAGCAGTCACAGTGGCCCCTGCGGTGACAAGGACTGGGATAAGGTGGAGAAAGCCCTTAGGCAGGTGCCTGGCACACAGGAGCCCCCACAGAGATGGACAATCATAACTGCTGTCACCGTCCCAAGGGCTCAGGGGACAAAGCACTTAGCCGTGCTCGTTGGTTGCAAAGGCACGTGCCCAATTATCAAAGATACCGGATTTGCCAGGGAAAAAAACCACAATGACAAAGCATCAGCCGACACATAGCCGGGTTGTTAGGTGCCAGCAAACTTCGGGGAGCTTCAGCCGAGCTACCTCCCGGAACCGACTGCGGGGTGCATGCATGACACGCATAGTGAGTCCGGCACCGGGGAGGCCGGGCGCAGACTCTGCCCTTTCCTGGGTGGGCTCCCCGAGAGGTGGGTGCACTGTGAGTCCGGCCAGACCCTGCAGCAACTGGCAGGGGACCCGGTGGTGGTGGGATCTGTTGCCCCCAACCCAGCCCTCGCCCTGCTGTGGGTGCTGAGGGCCTCAGCCCCCGGCAGCAGGAGGGTCCTCTCCCCCTGGGTCTGGGATTCCTGCCCAGGAGCCCCCAACTCAACACCCCCAACATCAGCACCCACCTGGCTCTGTGGGAATCCCACCCCCACCTCCTGCGGGGAGTAGGGGGAAGAAGAGGGGAGGGGGAGGGACTGGCTCAAGGTCACAGAGCAGTGGGGTGAGCAGAGCAGGACTTGGAGCTGGCCCTGGGTGGCCACCCTGGCCAGGGGTCTTTCTCTAGAGCCAGGCAGCCCAGCCCGAGATGCCCAGGCCGGGCGGGTCTGCACCAGCCCCAGGCCACCCGAGCCCAGCGCCAGGCCAGGCACAGGGCAGCGAAGCAACCTCAGGTGCAGGGAAGCAGAGAGCGCCCTGACCCAGGGAGAGTCGCGGGGAGGGGCCCTGGCCAAGGGTGCGGGGTCTCATCCGGGCTACATGGCCAAGCAGGGGCATGACTGAGAAAGGCCTGCTCCAGGGGCCTTGGAGAGATGGCACAATGGGGCGACCCAAGGCCCTCAGGCCAAAGGGGGCCCTAGGTGGAGGGGGAGGGGAACCTAGAGGGGGCAGCGAGGTGGGCCCGAGGGAGGGGTCCGGGAGGGGACGGTGCGGAGGGGGTGTCCAGGCCAGGAGCGGAGGGGACCCGGGCCGGGCCGAGGCGCGGAGGCCGGGAGGGTGGGGCCGGGGAGGGGCGCGCGGGATGACGGCCGGCGGGGCCTGGTCGTGGGGGCTGCCGGGGACCCCCGCCCCGCCCCGGGCCGAGTCTAGCTGGGACTACAGGCATGCACCACCATGCCTCCCGCTGGTGCTAATTTTTTCTACTATATATTAGTTGGCCAATTAATTTCTTTCTATTTTAGTAGAGAGGGGTCTCACTCTCCTCTCACGGCTGGTTTCAAACTCCTGACCTCCAGCGATCCTCCCGTCTTGTCTTCCCAGCAGTGCTAGGATTACAGGCGTGACGCCACCATGCCTGGCTCACATGGTTGTTCTTTAATCCATCATAGCAAGCCCTCCCTCCCTGCCCCCGCTCTTTTCCAACTGGGTGTGACATCAGGCGTTTTTGTGCTTTTCTGATGAACACGGTCGACGTTCCCTGTCCGCGCGCGTGGCTCTCTCCTCGCCGCCGGCTCCAGAGACGGTCCCTGAGCGCCGCACACATCAGCCCAGAC